GTGTTGTAAGGGTAACTCTATAAATTGATGCATAATACATGTTTATATATGAATGTTACTGAGTAATACAACTTTGAAAGTGTTCATTTCTTTTTTATTGCTCTGTACCTTATTTAAATTTATATAAAAATTAAACATGTGAACAGAAAGGATACATGCTTGCTTCTGCTGAGGGAAGGATAGGAATAGGCTGAGAACAAGAATGGGTTTCAACTACATCTATAAAGTATCTTTTTAAAAAATGAGGTAAATGTGGCAAAATGTTAATGTACTTTAGATCTGGGTACATAGCTGAATGTTATTTTCTGAACTTTCCTATGTGATTGATATAGTTAACAATTTTTTAAGTAAGTAATAAAATGAAATATATTAGCTTCTGTGGGGAAAAGAATCAAGAGAAAAAAAAGATTACACTGTATAGCACAGGGAAATATACACAAAATGTTATGATAAATCACAGAGAAAAAAATGTGACAATGAGTGTGTATATGTCCATGAATGACTGAAAAATTGTGCTGAACACTGGAATTTGACACAACATTGTAAAATGATTATAAATCAATAAAAAATGTTAAAGTAAAAAAAAAAAAAGAATCAAGAGGAAAGGCCTGTAGTGGTAACTGAGCCCAGATACACCAAACTGAATGTGACAGATGTACACATCAACCACAGGCTTCTGTGTGTTTTGTTACAACCAGCTGAGAGGAGGTAAGGAAAAGCTACCCTTGTGAGTGGGGCTGGGGGAGCAGCAGGACCTCACCCAACCTCTACTCCATCCTGGGACCCCCTAGTCACATCACAAGGACTGGGGACAAGTAGGGGAGGGGTGGGGATGGAGACCTGGAGGAAAACTGGGGAACAGGGAAGAGGTAGGTATCAAGCAGCTCTGGTTATTTGCAACATTTAAACATAAATTAAATTAAAATTAAAAAAGAAGGGAAATTAGTTTAGCTGCTAAGAAGGACAAAAGAGCATCAGTAAATCTAGGATGATAGTTTAGAGATAAATGCCATCACGACAAATTTAATGGCAGTCAGGGCCCAATAAGTACTTATCTTTTTCTATTTGTAAAGACTCTTACATTTTAGTGAATGATGCCATTTTAGGCTCTAGGGATGATTAAAAAAAAAAAGGCAGCTATCTTGGCCCTCAAACAATTTATGATCCTGTTGTGGAGACAAATACCATGTAAAACATACATAACAAAAATAATAGCATTAATTCAGTGCTTTCTTTGTGCCAGGGAAAAGTCAAAGCATTTTATGCATTCACTCATGTAATCTCCACAAAAATCTTATGATGTATGGACTATTAACACTCCCACTATCTTACAGATGATGAAGCTGAGATACAGAGAGGTTAAGACTCTTACTCAAGAACATACCACTAGTAAAAGCAGTTAGGATTTGAACTCAGTCCGTGGGACCCAAGCTTTTAACTACACTAAAAAAAAAAAAAAAAAAACCCAAAACAACCACCAAAAAAACACCACCTTATAGTAAACATACTACATAGCACCTGGAATCTAGGTTTGAATTGTGACTCTAGCACATACGACCTGGGTGAATTTGCACGTGTCCTTCAACTTTTCTCAAACTGCTTATTTCAGAGTTGTCAGAAAGTCTCAGGTGATATAGTAAATCATGTAGCAATTACATCTACTGTAATTAGGATTATAAATGGGCCTTAAAAATGTGACAAGGATCTGCTTCTGGTCATCCATCCCTCCAGGCCTCTTAATCTTTACATCAAAGACCGTTTGACTCACACAACTACAGGCTTGCCCTCAGTCCCAAGATAAATCTTGTCCTTCAAAAGAAAGGATTTAAGAAATTTTCAACAATTCAGGACTGAGTTCTTATAATTGGCTTTAATCCCTGTTCTAAAGCGAAGACTACCTTATCCCTAGAGTTCTAACTTCTGCTTTGTTCTCTTGTACCCTTCCCAGCCCTAAAGAATTACCACGCGTCACATGATTAACACGTTACCACATTTGAAACTCCCAACAGCATGAGGTAGGCATTATTACACAACCTATTTCACAGATGAAGAAACTGGATACAGAAAGGCTAAAGTGCCCAAGGTCATTCAGTAAGTGTCAGAATTACAAGACAAACCCAGGTCAGCTGGCTACAAGGCCATTATTTTTCCTCTATAACAAGCAGTTTTCAAGCTGTGTTCCCGATTCCATGGAGACTCAAGGGCTGCCAGGGGACACCGAAGAGGTAAGTTATGGCTCAACTCACTTTCACAGGTACCTGTACCATGCTGATTGCCACATCCTCTCTGGATGCCATGCAATACTTTCTTGTCTACCTTCTCCTACAACTTAGGGATGAACCTTAATTCAGGACAGCTTCCTCTTGAGTAGGTATTTTCCTTCCAGGACCTCCAGCGTGTTTTCATTAAACTTCCACTCCCAGGAAGTAAAGTAACAGAAAGTGGTCCTAGAGTCATTTCAGGAATGGTCATTATGTGTAAGTAATATTATCAACTCTTCCACAGTATGGAAGTAGAGATTAATATGGCTCACATAATCTAAAACAGGGGATCATTTGTTATGAGAATTAATTTTAGGAACATATTTATACCTTAAAATTCATTGTTCATAGCTATGAAGTGGAGTATTCTAGAATAACCTGTAATATTTTAAGCAAGTGAAGAAATACTAAAACAACCTAAGCTGAAAGCTGAAAGTTTTCTAAATTTTCTCCTTGCTCAATTTTATGAACTCTACCATGTTATTTCTGAGAATGGAACATTTATCAGGTGTGTGACAATAATCATGAATGAGGGCAAAGTAAATTTCTAAACGTAATTTTAAGATTAGTGTTTCTGATTCTTTTCTCTTGCCCACGTACTCACCCCGCTTATGATGACACCACACAGAACCGTTTAAGGAGGGCTACAACGGTCTCAATTATTTCAATTAACGAGAAAAACGTGACTGAGTTACAACCTGAAATATCAGCAGTGACCTTTCAGTCCGACATGAAACCTCTTCATGTGTCATCAGCAAAGTACAGTAACGATCACTACCGCGCAGTACTATGAGTACTCAGTTCCCGTCCTCTTAAGCCAGATAACTAAATACCATGGATGTGCTGCTATTCTATTTCTCAAAGTATGGTGTACAGAGCACCTGAGTAAGAATCTCCTGAGGCACTCTTCATAACATGCAGATTCCTGGGCCCCATGAGCAACCTAAGGAATCAAAATTTCTGTAAGATCACGATATTCTCATTTTTGACAAGCTCATTCAGGCACTGATTTGAAAATTGATTGTATAAATCCGTTAATATGTCCTTACTATTTAAAGGAGAGATTGGTTAAAAACAAAAACAAAAACAAAAAATCCTGTCTCCATTTGGCTGGTATTTAAGATTGCACATATGTAGGGTTTCTTACTGTGTGTCTGAAAAAATTTAAGGGACAATAATATTGATCATGACACCATCCTCCAAAGCAATACCTCCAAGTAAATTTTCACTTTTTAGAAAGAGCTTTAGAATAGTGAAGGAGTTCTTGACCAAGGGTTAATGATAAACTAATTAGTCTTCACTCATTTTAGCAGTCCACACAGTTTATTCAGCAATAGAACAGGAGAGAACTTCCATCATGACAGACATAAGGCAGATACAGGATAGATCTCTGGGGTACATTCTTTATACAGACTAACAAATGATTTGGTTTCACAACATGTGGCAGGCATGATTTGTTGCACACCAACAGCCATTCATTCCTCACTTCTTCCTTTCTGAAAAGGCTCTGATTTTACCAGGGGAGACACTGTGTCCCACCCAGGCAATGCCAACTCCATTCCCCTTTGCCGGGCGTCCTGGGCTCCCTTGCGAATCAGTACCTTCCAATGGGATGTAAGAGGAACCTGTGAGGGACGTTTGAGAAAGATTTTCTTCTCAGATAAAAGATACTTGAAAGGAGAAAACTTTCTGCTCCCTACTTCCAACCTTTGGGACTAAGATGTCTGGAGCAGCAAGCCACACTGCACTCGCTGAGGAAACAACTAGGACAAAATGCCATTAAGACACAGATCCCAGAGGGAAAGACAGAAAGAACCTAGAACCTTGGGACCATTGCTGAGCTGCTACACAAGCACTGGATTATCTAGCATCTTACGTGGAATTTAAAAATTGTTCAGTGGCCTCTGAGATGTTTTCAACAGCTTTTTCCAAGTTTCTTAACCCAAACTCTGATCCATGATTCTTATGAACAAGTGAAGGCCAGAATGAGGCCAATGTCAGGTAAGACCTTCTTAGTTCTAAGAATGCTTTCCCTAAACTGTACATAATACATATGGAGTCAAGCTTGGTAACTCCTTTTGTTACAAATACTTTTCCCTTTCCAGGGGAGGACATTCTAAGTCCAGTCACCACAAAGATAGGATACTCTTTCTTATGTAGAGCCAGCCAAGTAAGTGCTGATAGTCATACTTCTGTATGTTTTTATGTAACCTAGGTAGGTGCCGCCTGATTGAATGTGATTTCTCTGACAGTGACCAGTTATCGATGTCAAAGCCCCACCAAGGATGAGCCAAAGAGCCAATGATGAGCAAGTGGTTATATATGAATAAATTATATATATATAATCACTGATTAATATATGAGGTGGAATCTAGAACAATGTAGTTTCTTACTAAAATGTCTAGCTGTTTTACTGGAATAATCTAGAACCCAGCTACAAAGGTGCTTTCCCACAAAAGTTACCATGAGAAATATCATTATGGTGCACAAGGTATGGGCTTCTCCTCCACGGCTACCTTGTCATATGTTAATAGTTAGGCTGTGGAGCTTTTTAGGAAGAGTAAGCTAATTCCAAAACATAGGGAACACGGATTAGTCTGGTTTTAGATGAACAGTGTGGCTTGGAATACTGATTAAATTCATGCTGAACCAGAAACACGCAGACCCTGGAAGCCAATCCAGCAATTCAAGCAGTTCCCCAAAGTAGTGACAGTTTGGATCAGATTCAGAAAGGAGTAATTTTTCCATCTTCCTTGGGCTACTGGTACAAAACTCTCTAGAGTTTCCATGATTTTAACTGTTTAAGAAGTTACTTGCTTTGGCCAAGTTTTTTGTTTAAGGTTTTGTCTGTTCTGGTCAAGATTAACTGTAACGCAGGGTTAAAACCAGCTACTCTAGAGTCATGTATCCTTTTTCTGACCAGCGGAGGACCCAGAAGAAATGGGTGGCAAGCTTTTTCAAAGGTCCACCTGGTAAGATTTTGGGGAGCCCACTCAAGTGGGAAAGACCAAGGAAGAACAAGGCTTCTGTTAGCAGGATTATCAGGATAACACTCAGGGCAGTAATCAGCTCTGTTAATACGGTCTAAGAATACTTGGTAACACTCATTTTCAACAAGTTCAGTTTGGTACAACCAATGGCCTAGTTCTAGACTAGGGAACCACTGCTGTCCACAGTCAGGGCAATGTGAATTATCTGAGAACATTGGGGCCTAGAAAGACAACACAGAAACCAATGTAACAGAGGCAAAAATGACAGAGACACCCAAATAACCAGTCCTATTACAGGTTTGGTTTAGCAATTTCTCAGTCCAACCAACATTACTTGGAGAAGATTAAATTTGGCTGGCACCTCCACGCAATTCTCCAAGATTTCGTTGTCTATTTTTCACTCACTTGCAACCCAGTCTCTGAACTCAGGGACTGATCCAGTCTGTAACGTTATCAGTCACTTACTAGTAGCACAGATCTCAGAACAGCTCTTTTAAATCCCAGCTTCTCAAGAAAAGATAGGGTTCTAGTCTAAGTTAGTTAGTTTTTCCTGTGTGTTATCAGCTGGTGGTATCATGCAGAGGCACCTGGCTTACTCTGCTTTGCTGGTAAGTTATTATGTCTGCGTGGTGAAACAGAGGAGCTGACGGGTCCAATGGGTCTTTGGTGGGCGCTGGCACTCTTGCCGCTGTAATGCACGTACCCACGTCTTAAGGCCTTGGCACTTTAGAGCGATGCAGAGGGGTCAGGAAAACCTGGTAGTCAGTCCTCTTGAGCGTGGTCCAGTGAAGTCTTTCTTGGGAGGACCTTAACCAGGACCCAGTCACAGAGAAGTAGCTGCTGCTGAGTTGGTTGGAGGGTCTGGAAATGCTTCACATACCTGTAAATGATAAAACTTCAGACGACTCATGTGGGCTTTGACTTGCTCACAACAGTATTAGAAACATGCATCTGGAAATCATCTGGGTCAGTCAAGGTGGATGAGAATTGTCTCATGGATTTCATCATGACAATTTCATGTTCGTTCAAACCAATTTATCTGCTGGGAGTTATTCTTCTTTGGGCAATAGGGAGAGTTTTGGTTCACTGAAGATTCATACTAGCTTAATTTTTTTTTCTAGTGTATTTCTTTTTCCTATTCCTTTTGTACTTTGGGAATAATAAGGCCTGTACAATCATGTTTAATGTGGTAGAACTTTGAGA